ATAATTATAATTATAAATTATAATTATAATTGGAACTTTGTTATAATTACTGATTGGAAAATTTGATTATGTATGCAGTTGTAATCAGCGTATAATGTATTTAATTTATAATGTTTACAAACAGAGCAAAACGGATCACTGAGAGAACAAAATGTCTGTTACTAATACTACTGTTAATCTGATTTTAATTTTATCTTATCTAAATAGAAATTATACGATAAAAATTATATATAAACATTAGGATAACGGTAAAACATGAGAAATGTTGTTGCATGATTCGTAAGAAGTAAAAGTATCAATGTTTATTTAATGTAAACTCTCACGCATAACTTTACTGACATAATCTTGCGAATTTTTCCAATTAGACTTATTATATCATTTCTTGTCACGCTGTAAAGTTATCAAGAGTATTAGAAAACTTGTTATTGTTGCAACAAGTTATCAGTAACATGTTTATTCTTTTTGAGGTTTTCATACTTGTAACTTTGAAGTTCTATTATTTTAACTTTATAAATATATTAAACTTTAAAAATGGGAAAAATAAAATCTTATTTTTTATACATTTCTATAATATTCCGATTTAAATTAAATCAATTTTAATAAAACTTTAATTTAAAATGTTCAAAATAAATTTTTATATTAAAATATTTAATAGAAAAAAAGTGCAAAATTGCAAAGCAATAATTATGTAATTTTTATTAAATATTAAAAGAAATATCAAACATATTATATATATTATATATGTAACATATTATATATGTAAAGTTAAAAGAACAGCCTACACGTATCGTAAATTTAAAGTCTTCTTAACAAATTATATGTGTGAGCATATGACCTTCATTTATGGAGAAACATATTTTTGATCTTCGAAATTCAATGGTGCCTCTGGCGCCAATTGGCTCTGGAGATTCAATTAGCCTAATTCGCCCACCTGCAAAGTCGCTATTGCATAGTATATGTCGAACCTTTTATCAAGTCCAAATGAATGTGATCAGTAAATTAGCATTCGATTCACATGCCGTGCGTAATAAATCCGCATAGCTTGCCGTGCTGAAAAACACGTGCACATTTGTGCTCTCATTGATCGGAAATTTGCACGCTAACTCTGCTAATCCGAATAACAATTTTCATGCAGATAGTAATATGCTATAGTAATATTTCTTTGCAAAATTTCTTTTATCATATTTGAGCACAAAGAATTTTCAATCTATTTCAAATAAATAACACAAAAAAGAAGTTTTTTGAATTTACAATTAGTTCTCAATTTTAATTATATAACAAATATTATAAATATTAAAATAGAAGCTCCCGTTTTCATTATGACTATATAATTTCTGCGGAAATTTCTACTATGCTTATAGTATTATAAGTCTTGTAGATTTACAAAGTTTCGGAATAGAATCCAACATGCGGTATTTCGAGTAAATAAATCGTTTAGTTATTCTCTGTTGTCAAGTGAGAAATGTTAAGTCTCTATAATATACACAAATTTGACCTTTCAATTGATCTACTTCTGAATAAAAGAAAAAAAAGGAAATGCAAGATTCGATATCACAAGATCGATATAATTTAAACGAGATGTTAGGCGCTCTAACAATAATATTTATAGAGAATTATTAATAATAAGCACAAATTAAATCGTTAATTTTTGATTTTTAAAAATTTACAAACCAGTTTTGCAGACAATTATAGGAGGTTTTGATAAAGTGAATTTTGAAAATACAGAATAAACGTTATGATTATTCTTTATTTATATAATTAACTCTAATTAGATCTTTGAATTGACTCAGAAAGATCAATAAATACCAAGACATTTACTGGTGACAGTCAAAATTGAATGATTTATGGTTTCTTCAAAATATATATATCAATCGAATAAAATTGCAATATCAATAAGCGCAACCTTGATAAAAATACCTATACCTACTTTTAAATTGTAGGAAATAATTTGCGGGCTTCATATTACTTTCTCGAACACCGACATCGTATATCCTAATTCTACATGATCCTATATATTATGTGTCGTATCAATAAAATATAATCCATCTTTTCTCTCCCGGCGCCACATGTCTGACGCAATTTTGACCTATATATCAACGCACACGTTTCAAGCGATAGATCCACGTTATTCATTATTCTTCGATTTTCCTTCGATAATCGAAGATTCGAAGGAATTCATGAGTTGTTGACTGTTTGGAGTACTTTGTATACGTACGATCGAAAGCTTACAGAAATATATGCGAGTGTCTACGTGCACGTATACGCGAAAGCAGGTAGCAAATATAAGTTAGTACGTGGCGCCGGACAGGCACATTATTAACTGCGTCGTCAGATTCCTTTCCGAGCGAACTACTGACAGTGCTGACACGCTATCTGACGCTTTCTTACACATAACAGTCTTATATTTCGGCATTGGTAAGGCCAGTTGTAAATCTAGTTGGTCAACCTTGCATCATTTGCGAAATGTATTAGCCGTAAACAACATCACGAATGAAGACACTATATTGTACTGCACTGCAAAAATAATACAATATAAATATGTCAATTAAGATACATAGATTTGAATACATATTGTATATAATCAATATTAGTTTAATTACAATCTTCTTTAGTCTATTTTTCATCATCATTATTATTATGCATATATTTCGTGTATATAACATTACGCATCGTTATTTTGTTTATGATAAATTCAATCACTCGCACTACACTGGATGCACATTAAAAGGATTACTTTATATAAAATACCCAACTACAGTGGCATAACATAATCAATTTTGACAATTAAATAATATATGCATATTCTGTTAAATAACGTGACATATTATTATTGAGTGATTTTAACGTTTAAAATATTTATGTTTTTATATTTAATTTTACTAATATTTACAGATATAACAGTTTTTTATATGAATCTAATGTAATAGAAATCATAGAATTGACTAATAATTATTGATTCAATATAAAGAAAGATAAGATTAACTAAAATAAATTAATAATCAAGAACAACGCTACTTGCGCAGTTATAAGATTAATTAAAATTTTTGTTCTCTTATATATTCTATATATATTAAAATCAACATTTAATAAATAAATTGTCAATGCTACTCCTAAATAATAATAAAATAATAAAAATTTAATAAATAATATTTTTACGATTACAGTTAATTAAATTTTCTTCACGTGAAAATTTCATCTCAATTTAATTCATTATATTCATTATAATTTTTCAAGTTCAAATAATTTAATATTATTTTGCATTATTCAATATTATTATTATATTGATTTAACATCTCTATATCGACTATATTATACACTAAACAGAAAGAGCGAGAAAAAGTAGATTCGACTGATTGAGGTTAAATAATATTGGAGAGAAAAACCGATATTATCGCTTAAAAAGACCAACAATCGCTGAACTATATTCAGTTTAAGGTTATCAGAAATGTGTGCAACCTCAGGCTTCTTTCACGCATATATTTTTTATTTACCATATATATCGTGACTATTATAAAAAGATGATAAATTTACTACATCGTCGATAAGAATTTGATATACAGAGATTACGTGCTAATCCGCACATAGTAACATGTACTATAATTGTATAAAAATGGAAGGAATTTTTGTTAGAAAAGTTGCTTTTCTCGATAATTATCTAAAAAAAAATCGCTAATTTCGTAAGCGACACGAGAATTTTGCTCTGAATGTGACTCCTTTTGAATTAGAAATAATTGTCCGATAATTTTGTCGCAATGACCACGTGCGCTTCGTCACCGTATCGGTTCAATTCAATCGTCTCGACAAGAATAGCGATTATGAATACATCGAACTAAGACAAAATTTATATGTTTTTTCAACATTTATATGTTTTCATACCTATCAATACTTTTTATTTGTAACTGCAACAAAACCAAAAGAATTCCGAAACATTTACGTAAGACGGAGATTTATTTCATTAGGTAATTCAAAAAACGCAAAAATAATTGAAGTGTGAATTTCTACAACATTTTAAGCGCAGAAATAAAACAAATTAATTTTATTATCGCAGTAATAAACTACATTTATAAACTACATTCGCGTAAACTACATACAATTGATTTCACGTTTATATTATGGAGATGCTTGTATTACATTTTATATTGCTTAATTACGCAATGTAGACTAGAGGAAAGAAATTATATCTTTTTTTCTATTCTATACCATATTTTTGAAATTTTGATTTTTGACTTATATAAATTCAAATTCAGTCTAAATGAATTAAAAACTGAAAATTTACGTGTTCAATTTTCAATCTTAATGAATAAAACAATTCAATTCTCATGGATGTTTTTTTTTTTATAATTCCTTTCATTAAAAAGTTTATTTTTCTTTTGTAAAAATATTGAGCGAGACTATTTGATGAAATGTTAGCGTTGAATGTTAATTCTTTTTTCAATCATCACTAGATTATAAATCTATTAGTATTTATTTTCGAAATACAAGTTGTTACTCACAAATTGATAAAAAATTAGAAAACATATTAAAATTAAAAACATATTAAAATTTATAAAGTTATTTATTAGAATTTGTATATATCGTAAAAATTAGGAAAATAATTAATTAATTATAACCTTGTTAGTCTATTTTTTATTCGTTATTATTATGCAAAAGTTTTAATTAGACTTTGCTTATAACTGAACACTTGGTCTTAAAATGCTCTTCGATGATCTTGATTAATTCATTCCAGTTAATCTCTCTAATTAATCCCTCAAGGTGTTAAATCAATAACTATGACAACAGAATAATGATAATATATAATATATAATTTAATATATAAGAATATATAATTAATATATAATA